GGGTCAAGTACTGGTCCTCGAAACCAAACCCATTACTTCGTCGGGGCTGCTGATAGTAGCTATAAACTTCATTTTGCACCAATAATTTAGTCACCTGTCATGGACAATAGTGATGGATGCCAATAATAACTATTAATTACCATCATCTCTCAGATGGTGTTGCTTTTAACTTTGGTGATTTCTTGTTTATTTATGCATTTCTGTTTCTTAACATATGAAGATTCCATGCAAAATATAAGATACAAGAAAGAAATTTCTTTATGTTTTTTCTTAAGCACAAATCATTAGATTTAACTTCGGTATGGTATTTCTTTGTGCTCCTTGCTAAATAATTCTGGTGGCAGTTTCATGATCTGTGTCCTTAACACGTAGGCAGTAAAACACTTATGAGAATTTCACTTCTCAGCTTGATGGTACTGATTTTATTTATTGATTTTCATTTGATTGCAGTTAAATTTCTGGGAGGTGGTTGCTATTACTTATATTCTTGTTTTTCATGTAGCAGGAAGTGAAGGCAATAAAGAGCTGGGTTTGAATGTTAGAGTGGTTTTTCTGTCCCTCCCATGTCTTTAGGCTATGCTGAAATTTAGGTTTAAAGTTTAGTATCATTTTATCCTCAATGATACCCTCAAATTTTGCAAGTGTGTTCTTGACTGTTACTTGACAGCTCAGTATTACAGACATACAAAATTCTTCTGGTTTCTATGTTTTAAATTTATATTTATGTTATCAGTGGTGGTTCAAAGACAAAGGACTTCTTATGGCATAATTGGCTGCTTATTCATTAGGTCAGCTTTGAGCAGCACTTTGATTTGTTAAGAACATAGAAGTAACATTTACATAATGTGACTTGTGCTGGTTGTTGCTTTGGACAAGACAAGGTAAGGTTGAGTGACTAGTGACATTCAGTAGCCGAAACATGTCATTGGAACCTCCCCTGTCTTTCTTATCTTATTTGCCTTATCTTTGGCTTTCAGTTCCTCATTTCTTCGCCTCTCCTCTGCCTGTGCTCGTGCTCCTCCTGCAATCTGGTTAATGTATTCCATATCTTCGCGGAATTTCTCCAAGGATTTTTTTCTTCTTTTCTCCAGCTCGCTCTGTGGACCCATAAATTGGTAGTTAGTGCTTATATCAGCTAGTTGTATTAGGAAAGAAGGATAAAATCTAAAGACCTCTGTTCTATGCTGCTTGTTCGTTGCTTCGTTCTTTTTCTTCTCCTCCCAGGAAAGTATTCTGTTAATTAACTTCTCGTACCTGCAAAATCTGTATGTTAAGGAAAGAATGCTAACAAATCTAATTTCGTGCTCATTAAGTAATGTAGAGCCTTGTAATTTCTAGTCTCTCACCCTTGTACTTTTGTCTGAGGTTTTAGATTACCATACATGTTTAACTAATTTGATGACTTGGTTTAAGTACTTGTACTTTATGCTCATAGTTTAGAAACCTACTCTTGGAAACTGACAAGATTACCGTTTTTTAATCTTTTCAAGCTTAGCTTTCTCCCATTTATCTGCTTCTGTTTCGTCTGTTCCAAGTCTTTTTGAACTTTGCCTTTTAGTTTCAGTTGGTAAGCTCGCAGCTGCAATTTTGGCATTGGGAGGTTTTACTTTTGGCAAAACAGGTTCTATGGCAGGTTTGTCTGGCTTGGCTGCCGCAATTTTGGGTTTTATGCTCCCAACTCTGTCCAACAGCTTATCAGCTGAAGTTGGAGCCTTTTTAATTGATGGAACATGAGAAATGGCCTTTTCCCGCGTCTTTTTGTCTGCATCAGCAATTAGCAATACTCCACTATCTGATATTTTTGAACCTCTACTTGAGGTTTCGCCTGTTTGAGATCATTTTTTTTTAACTTCTTGCCGAGAAGTAATATGCTACAAGTGTATATTTAGAGTGATAATATTTATCTGGAAATCATATAATCATTTCATGTATTTTCACCTGAGAATCGTTTTGACACTCCACCTGGTGTTTGTATTGAAATTGTCTTTGTTTTTGTAAAGGGGGGTTCAGGACCCTCACCAGTTTTCTTCTGATCAGAGATAATTGATTCTTCCTGTGAGTTGATGGCATATGCAGCAGCAGCAACTGCTGCTGCATGCTCCACATCATCCCTTGAATCATAGTCATGACTCATATGTTGAGAAAACTGTTGCCGGAGCCAGCTTGGCGATCTCTTCTTTTCTACAAAAATTCTTCTCATGTGTTCGTAAGTAGGAATTCCATTTTCCTATATACAGAATTTAATGGCAAAGTTACCTCCTTTGAAGGACTGAGTATTTTGGGGTGGTATTCTTTTTCCCGTGTCACTGCTAGGCTCACCTGTCTTTTCCTGTCCTGCAGCAGAAAATTTCACCCTAGCAAAGGAGCTGATTAGTCAAGAATGGCCAATTTACAGGAATGAAGAGGTACTTTTTGGTTAATGAATTAATATTGGTACGGAATAGTGAGTTACCTGGTTTGCTTGATCAAAAGGTCCATGATCTGACACAAAAAGTCTTTGGAATTGGGAGGTGAGGAAGAAATAGTTGGGGCTTGTGTATATTTGAAGGAGAAGCCGTGGAGGCCAGTGCTGGTTAGTGATAGGCTGCCTTATGGTTGTGGGGGCAAGCAAAGTTGATATGCTTTGGATGCAAGCCTTGTCTTTGGATCATAAAGGTGTATTTGCTCAAGAAAAGTATACTTTCTGCTGATGATTAAGTTTTATGAATTGGTAAAGCTTTTCTATATATAAAGAAAGCTGCCTTTTTCTACAAAGAATCTGCCTCTGCGTCCTCCTAAAATTATTGGATAAAAGAAGTACTATTTGTTTGCTTAAATAACTAGAGAATCTGGTTCAACATGGTTGGATAAGTTCGGGTTCATTGGTCGAATTTTAGGAGAATCTACGAGTTCCGATAGAATCTCATCAGTAGAACAATGTCAGTTTCAACGTCCCATGTTCTGGATTCAAGTGGTATTCTTCCTTTTTTTCTTCTCAATCTTTCCATCACTGCCATATAAATGTAGTCATGTATCTATAAGTTGAAATTTTTCTAATCAAATTTGACAAAGATATTTTTCTTACTCCGATTTTTAAGAAGTCAGATTATTCATATGACTCAATTGTTGTATCTCTTTGGAAGGGAATAATTGAGGAAATCATGGGTATATTTGGTTGCAGGAGGTCTTCCGAGGAGAGCTACCTTACAGGAAAGCGTTTAGACAGAGGAGCACTGGTACTGCATTTGATCACAAAAACATGTGTTTGTATAACGTAAAGTAAAATTAATGTATATAGAAATATAATATAATGTAAAATTAATAATTTAAATTATGTACTTATATTTATTAATAATAATGTGTAAAATATAAATTAAATTTATCCTTTTTATTAATTTTTTTTTTTTTTTTTAAATTGTTTCAGTCATAACTACTTTATTAAAAACACAATTTTTACCTATGACTTTTCTTATCTTATACTTGTTTTGGTAATTTTAATATCAAAAATTATTTTCATTAAGTACACAGCTTCTAACTATTAAAATGATAATACTTTTTACATTTGTTTTTATTGAATATTAACTAATTTTTAATTAATAATTATCTTAATAATATTTTCAAAACTTAATACAGGATGTAATTGTCTTTTTCGCCCACTAAAATGAGAAAAGTTTGCCAAATGAATTGGTTTAGATCACATGATAACAAGCTTTTTTCCAATGTAAGTTTTTAAGAGGAAGACTCTTTTCAAGGAAACAAGAAAACTTCTTACACCCCCCTTTCTTTCATCCAAACGTTGATCATCACATTTTAGCTTGAAAATGCTCCAGCCTACGCTATTCATCCCGAATCGAGATATTAAGGTCTACGAAATTTATCTACATTTGTGCTATAAATAAAAAATTAGTAATGTATATAAAAGAAAAACTCGATAAGTTGAATCAATTTACGTCGAGCTAAACAGTTAGATTTTAACCGATACATGAAATCAATTAATTGAAATGTTCAATTTACTCTTAATGTTACTTTTGCACAACTTGATTGCTGCTAAGATTTTTTTTCTTTTTATATAAAAAAAAAAAAAACACAGCAAACAGTCATGAACAAACTGTTGTTGATAGGAACTAAAAAAGCCTAGAAAAGTAGTGCTTATGCACGAAATTAAATGTATTCATATGATTTTAAACATATAAGAGAATAATATCAATAACCATTTTACTATATTGAAGTTCGTCCATGAAGAGCTAAACGAGAGAATAAGGAGCAAAGATTAAACTTTTAGATAAAGCATAAACCACTCGGTAAAATATCATCTTTTCTAATTTTCATACCTATTGAAAAGAATTACATTAACAACACAGAGCGAAGAAAATGGAGATCAGAGGATACCCCTGTTTATTTTTTTTTTTATTTTTCCTTTTGGAACAGAAAACTGGACTTCTTTTTTTTTTTTTTTTTGGTACTTTGATTTCCTGGGCTTAGATTTAATGGTTAAAATGGGTTCAGTGTGACTTTTTGTTAGAGAAGGATTCAAAAGGGGTTCGTGTTTGGGTTTTGGGTTTAATGGGTTAATAGATTAGGCTTTTTGGGTTATGGATTTAAAGGGTAAAAAAAGGTTAATCGATATAGTTTTTTTTTTTTCTTTTTTTTTTTTGTAAGTTTAAAGGTTAATGAATTTGGACAATCTATTGAAAAGTATAAAAAAAAAAAAAAAAAAGATTCATTCCTTACAAATCTTTTATTTATTCATATACTAAAACATATATGTATATGTATAAGTTTTAATTGCCGACTTCACCTAATATAAGTTGGGGGCCCCTTAACCCTTTACCCTTAAATTTTTCTTGTCATTTCATGTGTCTCTCGCCTTGCATTGTAACTCCCCATTTCCATCTCTCTTACAATCCTTTCTTCCTTTCCTTCCCACAAAACCATCTTTCTTTCTCCTCCTGATCTCTCCAATCTCTCCAACAATGGCGGCTCACCGTCTCTTCATCCTCATTCCTCTTATTCTCCTCCTCATTTTCTCTTACTCAACTGCCACCACACCCACCAAACCCTATCCAAGAACCTCTTCAAGAACCCACCACCAATACCGCTACTCCTGCGATTCATTCCCTCGTGGCGGCCGCTCCCGGTCATTGTGCATTCAACTCCAAAGAGCCCACCAGCACCGCCTTCTCCGACGGCCACCGCCATCCTCGGCTTCTTCATCGATCGATGAGTCGGTTAATATTGATCCAAGATATGCTATGGAGAACAGGGTAGTCCCTTCCGGACCTAACCCTCTTCATAACTGACCTTATTTTGGTCAGCCTCCGTGCTATATATATAAATATATATTATATACTGCTGCCATAAATCTTTGTCTTCTTTGCATTCATTATCAAGTTGACAATCTTCATATGACAAATTTCTTTTCCTCCTTTTGCGTCATGGTTTAATATGGTATAACTTGTTTGGCTGTTTTGGAACTTCATGTGTTCATGTGGTGAATATGGTAAATGGGCATTGGGTTTTTCTATTTCCACGCTTGTTTTTGGGTTCTGTGATACCCAGTTAGATGATTTAGATTAGAGTGGAAGAAGCAAAAACAAGCATGGAAATCAGACATTAATTAGTGTAGGAGTTAACAGCCCAAATTGGGTGGAGGGAAGCGTCAAAAGAAACGCATGAGTTTCATTAAATAGCAGGAGCCTTAAAAGAGATTGGATGGATGGAGTTTGATATTTGTATCATGTGGGTCTTCAATAACCCCCCATATATATATATATATATATATAGTTCATGATGTGGATACATATATGTATGTATGAGAATATTGATGTGCACTGATTAAATTCTTGCAAGTTTTAATTTTCCCTTTGCCTATAAACAAAATATATGATTGGCTATCTGGAAAAAGTTGGTGAATGTTATGTATTAATCCTAAGCCCACTAAAATGAAATGAGTTTTATATATACAAAAAATACAGGATAAATTTTTTTTTGAAGTTTTTATAAAATATACAATTTGTAAATTTATGATGGAATGTTATTATTACTTCAGGATTTTAAGATTAGCTGTCCCCAGTCCAACAACTGATTTTGTTGTTGTATATTTCTAATAGAATATTTAATTAGAGATATCACATATTCTCTCTACAATCTTGTGATTAATAACCTATATATAATTTTATTAAATATTTTAAAGAACACAAAAAAAATAAGTCGACCAGCATACCTATATATATATATATATATATATATGAGAAATAATCCACATTTGTCAAATCACTAGAAATAAGTAAGAAAAGATTTCACTTGGTTCTCTTAGGAGCTTATAAACCCTGGAATTAATTAATAAATTCTCCGTTAAACATATAAGATAAAATCATCTGATTATATATATATATATATATATATATGTATGTTTTTCCATTACATGTAGACAAGAGTGTTTTAGGGAGAGTGGACGTGTATAATAATAACAAAAGTTACCTCCATTATGGGCTTAGAAATTTTGTTGTAGACATGAATTTTTGCCAACAATGGGTATGATGCAGGCATAGAGCATTATTAGCATTTAGAATTCTGAAGCATTAGATTTATTTATGGCATTCATTGATAAACTTTATTATCCCTCTTATTCGTATAAAATTAAAAAAAGTTTTTTAATTGAGTCAGAAACAAAAAAAAAAATTGATTTTAAAAGAAAGAAATTAGATAAAGCTGCTAATATTATTAGTTTCTATTGTTGTTATTTCAAATAATTTTAAAATTATCTGTCTGAATCTAGTTATTGACAAATGATATTTTGTGTTAATTAATACACACTATTTTATTTGCAGTTGTATTGATTTTTGAAGTTCTAATTATCAATTACATGTTTGATCTCAGTGAATTATTTATAACAATGTGTTAATATCTCTACTACTTTATCAAACTTTTTTTCATCTTTGTTTTTATTATTATTTTTTTAACGACGTTGCATATGAAAATTTAAAACTTACCACGCAAATAAGTTTAATAAATAACAAAATATCAACCATGATAAATTGCATCTAAAAATAGCTTGGCATAAAAAAAACAACAACCACGGAAAAACTCATGCATTGGCAATAAAAAATTATAAATTAAATTGGAAGAGTGTGTAATTATGGATTTCATAAAGAAC